CTCGAGGTATGCCTCTCAGATCTACACTCCCATAGTCGCATCATCTAACGAAGGATAGCAATTGTCGTATTACTTTCCCGATAAAACCATGTGGCAGAGTTTTGTCTGTGCAATGGTTGCTGCTGTGACTCTTCAAGCGCTTAACCCTTTTCGAACAGGGAACATTGTGCTCTACGAAGTCAAGTATACACGTGGATGGCATCGCTTCGAAATGATCCCTTTCATCCTCCTAGGTATCCTTGGTGGTCTCTACGGAGCATTTCTCATCCGCTTGAACATGAAAGTCGCGAAATGGCGGCGATCCCGAACTTGGTCTCGCCCGATATTAGAAGTTACGGTCATTGCTCTTCTATCTGCTCTGATCAACTTTCCAAATATCTTCATGAGAGCTCAAAATTCCGAGCTTGTGCACTCGCTGTTTGCCGAATGTGGCGCGGGGTCCGATGATCTGTTCGGTCTTTGCAAGACTGGTGCTGCATCTGCTGGTACAATAACCCTTCTGCTTATGGCCGCACTTCTTGGCTTCTTTCTCGCCTCATTTACGTTTGGGTTGGACATACCTGCCGGTATCATTCTTCCTTCCGTTGCCATTGGTGCCTTGTATGGCCGTGCATTTGGAACGATGTTTAAGATGTGGCAAAATGCCTATCCAAATTTCTTCTTCTTCAACAGCTGCGAGCCAGATGTTCCTTGTGTGACACCGGGAATATATGCAATCGTCGGAGCAGCTTCAGCTTTAGGTGGCGCAACACGGATGACCGTGTCAATTGTTGTGATCATGTTCGAGCTCACAGGTGCCTTGACATATGTCATTCCTATCATGATTGCAGTCATGTTGTCCAAATGGTGCGGTGATATATTCGGGAAACGTGGTATCTACGAGTCTTGGATCCATCTCAAGGAATATCCCTTCCTTGACCATCGTGACGACACTACTTCCCCCGATTTACCTGCTCATAGAGTCATGACAAGGGTCGAGGACCTCACGGTCATCGTTGCCAACGGACATACTATTGATAGTCTCCGCAACCTTCTCATGGCAACCTCATATCGCGGATTCCCTGTCGTTACCGATTCGTCGAATCCTCTTCTTCTGGGCTATATCTCACGCAACGAACTATCTTATGCATTGAAATATTCCTCATCTCAAGCGGATCGCGACTTGCCGGGCTCGACACAGGTCTTCTTCGCCCATCAGCCGTTTGCAGACCCTACTGAAACCCTCGATCTCCGGCCGTGGATGGATCAAACGCCTATTACACTTAACAGTGGGACGACTTTCTTGATAGTACGACGCATGTTCCAGAGATTGGGCCTCCGCTATGTGCTCTTTGCAAACAAGGGTGTCCTCCAAGGCCTACTCACTAAGAAGGACGTTTGGTCTATCATTGATGGTGCAGAATCCCGCAGGGATAAAGGCCTAGACACAGATTCATTGAGGCAAAGAAATACGGCCGAGGGGGTTGGTCTTCTTGAAAGTGATGACGGAACAAGTTTTGCCAGTTCGCTGGATAGACATCCTTCACTTTGATGTTTGCGACATGAACGTGGACTTAGCGAAATATATACCCTTGTAGAGGAGACTTTTTGGTTATTCGCTATCTTTTGGAATGTTACGCGACTAATGAGTGCTTGGTCGCTCAATTTCTTCAATATACCTTCAGTAGAACACCTTCATCCATGTGACCTTATGATACGTAGTCTTGTCTTGGGGGAGCCGCTGGTAATGCTGCTTTATATCGCAGATCCCATGACGATCACCCCCCATTTTCTGCCGGCAGAACAAGACCACCGCCTGCAACCGAAGATCTTGCTGGGATTCAGCTCTCTTATCGCAGACTGATTACTTGAGCTTTCTGAGAACTCCAGAACCGCAACCATGATGGCAGATCCCTTTGAGGTTCGCATGCGCTTCACTGCGCAGCTACAGCATCTTAATGCCTCCGTGACCTCGTCACAGAAGGCAGCGCATTATGCGCTGAAATACCGCGACATGGACGAGGATCTCCATTCCTGTATCCTGGAACAACTTGAAAGGGTGTGTATGTCTTTGCTGTCGTGCAGGACTCTACTCTAACTTCTGACACGATTCTTTCTAGAACAACATGAATAATCGAGCCAACATCATGTACTTCATCGAGCAATTCTGCGAGATGGCCACCAAGGAAAACCACACGCCTTATGTCCGGATGATGCAACGGGATATTCTACGCGTCGTTGATGCCGTTGTACCACCGGATGGATCAGGAGCTGCAAATATCAAGCACGTCCGGCGTGTTCTCAACGGTCTTCAAAGTAAAGGTATTCTCTCGGCCGAAACGGTAGCTGAGATTGACGCTGGGCTCAAGGAGCGGGAGGCCCAGGTGGCACATCTCGACTTGGATGCCGAGGAGGAGGTCGCCAATGCTGCGAAAGCGAAAGGTGGAACCCCACGAGGCTCCCGGCCGAGTGGGATGCGCGTGGACAAGCGGCAGATCGAGCAACGGATTGAAGAAGACCGTGAACGGAATAAAAGGCTGCGCGAGAGTATGTGGACAGTCAGTGGGGATGATGGTGACGAACATGGCAAGTTCTGGGATGAAGTCAGTGAGATAGGTGAGGATGACTTCCTGGGGGCGCAGGAGGAACTCATGGAGCGCAATCAAATGGTTGCTGCTCAATGATAAGAGAGTCTTAGATTTGGGGCTGGCTATTATCGCTGCCTCCTTGTTGCATCCAATGGGTCGAAAAAGGTGGTATGGAGTTTTGCAGCTATATATCCTGGGGTTTGATGCTTATATTTACAGGCGGAGTTGGTTGTATGATAAAAGATACCTGTTTAAGTGAATTTTGAGTCCTTTCTAGACTTCCAGGAGCTAAAACAAACTGCACTACTACCTAATATCGGTGCCAGGTTTCCCAAATCTTGTTCATTCGTGGCAGTTCTTCATGTCACTTCCTCTGGCAGTGTCAGTGAGTGGAAAGTTGAAACCCAGACAATGGCACCTGAGTCCCGCCTTCGGATCAAAGTTGCACCGATAGATTTTATCAGTTGAATTTCTTGAAGAAGCTTATCTGCTCGTCTCCGAGCGCGCAAAATTAACGTCTCACAATTTTCAATTGTTTGGAATTCATAGTGGGATCGGTTGATTCTCTATGTTTTCTCACATTGTTACTGCAGCAAAAGGTCTATTTGCACGGCAAGAAGACGACGAAGACAAACTTGATAGCAGCAATACAACCTCGACAACGTCAACAAGTCCAATTGGCCGCGAAGCAAAAATGGTGACGGCAACGAGAAGGAGGAATCTCGAGACATCGCCGACTACTTCCGGCGATAACAAAGGCGTCTCGACCTCCGCAAATGGGAAGCGCAAGCCCGAATCTACAAGCGCTGGAAAGTCCGAATCACAGCACAACAAACGGAGAAAGAGAAGCAGTCTAGAGGCTGCTGAAGAGCCAGAGAGGGAATTGCCGACTGAGAGCGCCATGGTTGAGTCAGATTCGAAACGAGAAGTGGCACAGGCGCCTGCTTCTAAGACGAAACACTTCAGATTCGACAGCGAAGAGCCTGAACTGCCGGTGGGGATGGAGACTGAGGCGCCAGAGCCTCAGCAGAAGGACCCGGACAATGAAGACAGCAGTGATGATGACGAAGCTCCTGAAGCGATTGACAATTCAGCTCAGATGTCCAAGATCAGACTGGAAGCCAAAAAGCAAGAACGGGCCAGACAAATGTTAGTATCTCCGCTACCTCTCAAAGAATTCTTTATCCCTAACTCGAATCGACAGTGAGGAACAGCTGAGAAAGGAGAAGAGAAAACAACTGGATGAACTCCGCAAACAGCAAGCGAAACAAAAGGAGGTGACCAAATTAGCAGCCGGTTCTGCTGATGACCAGCTTTCAGAAAGCACGGAGACACTGCGAGGTAGTACCACACAAGATGCCCGCCGATCAGCCCTCCCAGCTCTCCTGCCGGATGAGATTCTCAATGCAGCTCCTGTCGCCAGACCTCCAACGCCCCCCTTAGAGGAGCTTAATATTTCGCATAAGAAGCCAAACAAGTTGAAATTTCTCGATGCTACGGAGAAACGCCCCAAGGATGTCAAGCTGGGCGATGTTACAATCCGTGTGTTAGATGAGAACCCGACCAAGAAGGACAAGACAACCCTGCCGCCCAAAGCCTCAAAGACTGGGCGAAATGCCAAGCAGAATTGGCTCAACAGAGCTCGCAGTACCGCCACTGTCAATGGTCTTAGAAGAACCGCAGGTGGCCCTTCAGGGTTTGTTCGCAGATAAGAAATCTAGTCTATCGGTTTCTGCGTTTTTTTGGACCCGGCGACAAGGTGTTTATGGCGTCTTGATGCAGGTTGAGATCGGCTTGGAGTAATGACTGGCATTTGCTCGTCATTATACATCATCGATCAGCTACGGGCTATTGAGTGGCTTGCGTTGTTGTCGACAGGCGACAGAGCTGGAGCTGACTTCGCTTGAAGTTCGCGGTATTTACCACTTTCATTAAGGTCTATAAGGCTTAAGCATCACCCAACAAGGGGGATGAATCGCCTCTGAAAGCTCTAGCTGTACAATTGCTTGATGGTTGCCTTAAACACCCAATTCAAGGTCACGGCTCCAGCATTGTACAACATGAGAATGGACTCTCATTTGTCCGGTTGATGTTGGAAAATAGCTTGATGGTTGAATCGTTGGATACCCGAGTAAAATTGTGTATAATGAAGCAGTAAATGCGTTATATGAACCACTATAGCAAATGAATATATTCATTTTCCAATGTAAGCAGTACCTTGGGCGAAAACTGGCTGATGGCAGCGTCTGGCGGGAGCACGTGCAAAGCTTCGAGCTTTCTGCGATCCGTCCGCTTTGGACTTTTGGACTTTGGCTTTCATCTCTGCGGCTAGCCCACAGAGGCCTTTACTCCTCTTTTATTTCTTTTTTCCAGACATTGATCTGTCTTTTTATGACAAATATCTCTTGATTGTTTTATTTAACAAGAAACAGGATGACTTCGGCAGCAGAGACAACCCCGTTACTCCCCCAATACCAACAGCCAGCATCCTCCAATACGTCACAGCAACGAGGAAGCCGTCCGCCGCGGACAGTGACCTTTAACCCACTGGCCACAGTCAGTACATACCATGATGCTACTGCCACTGTAGATCCCACTTATAAGCCATTGAGCTCTGGTGCATCGTCTGTTCCCAACGCACCGTCGAACCAATCGAGACCGACCGGACTTTCTGCCCTGAACAGCAAGCTCCGTCGCCGCAATAGCCATGGAGCTCCCTACAGCACGGCAGTGCCTTCGATGCCACCAGCACCCAAGGTCGGACCCCAGCGAACGACGAAGAATGCACAGAAATTAAAACTGCTTCCGGATCCTGTGACAGCTGCCGAAGAGAACGTTACGGACGACGACTTCCCGCGAGATGTGTATTCGCAAATCACTCGGATCAAAGAACCGACTGCCAGAAGTCACGCTGCAAGATTGGGGAAAGCAGACAGGGATAGACTTCCACGAGTAACGGCATACTGTACAGCCAATTCGTACAGACTCGAAGGCGTCATCAAGTTTCTCAAAGCACGATCAAAGACCCGCGGAGCCAACCCGAAGCTATATGACGAATGCGTTTACTCTCCCTACGATTACTTATATGAGGATAAACAAAGGGCGCCTAGGAATTTGTCGGACAATGCGCTGGGGCTACATCCTATCTCGTCGAGTCCCGATCGGCCGTCTGGCGAGCGCAGGTATTCGGACAGTGCGGTTGAAGTTGAAGACAATGCAAAATCACGCAGAGAAGACCTCATTGACCTGCGAGAATCGCAAGACCAATCGCACCATGACTCTCATACCGAGAGCTCTGTAGCAGTGCAGCGGACAGATGAGACGCCAGACTTTGATACTACCATCCACACCCCTGAGGTCTTCCTTTTCGATTACGGGACAGTTGTCATATGGGGCATGTCACCCGCTCAAGAATCACGATTCCTATCCGACGTTTCGAAATTTGCAAACTCAATCCTGAGCCCTGAAGATACGCAGGTTGAGAATTTCAACTTCTACTATGCTCGCGAGTACCAGGCACGGATATACAACGACTTTATCTCGCTCCGTGATCCTCGAAACCACATGATCAAACTTGCCATCTCACATGCATTGTCTCAATCAGTCAAAACATCTCTCTTCGAGGATCTCGTCTCGGAGACCATCTCGAATACCGCACCACTACCCGCTCAAATTGCCCAAACCGGCAGTGTCAACATGACGCGGAGACAAATCAACATGCAGATTGGAGAACTGTTCATCTTACGGATCAACATTCATTTACAAGGCTCCGTCCTCGACAGTCCGGAACTGATGTGGGCAGAACCGCAGCTGGAGCCGGTCTACCAGGCTGTCCGAAGCTATCTCGAGATGGACCAACGAGTCAGTCTTCTCACAGAGCGACTGGACGTCATTGCGGATCTTCTGGCCGTCCTGAAGGATCAGTTGACTCACCGCCACGGTGAGTATCTTGAATGGATCGGTAAGTCCCTTACTTCCAGCCTTCGTGTCGATTCCTGCTTGGCTCACAAACTACAGTCATCATCTTGATCGCGGCGGAAATCCTAGTTGCAGCCATTAATATCGTGGTCGACTTGTACGCAGGAGTTGATTAGTCGCTCATCTTGAGTTCCTCGAAAGTATTCCTAATCTTTTAGCGGCGCTTAAGCCGATTGACCTTTCACTGATCTATACATTGTGCGCGACTCATTTTCCATTTTGCACTCAATCTACACAAGCTCGCTGCATCAGTTGCGACCCATATTTTGCATCGGAAGCCTCTGCGTCGGGAGTTCGGGACTGGGGCTGGAGTTGGTCATCTTCGTTCGGGACCCTTGCATCCTTTTGCCTATATCGAGGCAACAATCTTTGTATGTACCATTAGACAGGCTGTTAATATTGAACATGTCCTCTGGGACGTCCATGATGAAGCATCGTTTTCGCGAGTTTTATTTGCTACCCAATATGCACGCAACGTGCTCGCTGCGGTAAGCGTGGGAGGAATTCAAAAATGAGTCGCACCCTTGTGGCCAGACTATCTTCCATATGCGTGTCTAGCTGCCAAGTCCAGACACTTCGTTGTCTGATTTTCAAGTACATTAGAAAAGGCATCCAGGCACTGATCATAAGCGCTACAACGAGCGCCAACATCCCGTTGTGAGGAAACAATGCAGAATAGGCCCTCCTTCGATATGGGAATAGCTGCATGCGAAATAAAACAGAAAAAAAGGTAGATTAATCTAGAAGAGGCGAAGAACGAAAAAGAAAGAAAAAGAAATAGAAAAAAGCCTCTCATCATCCCTGGCTCTCCTCTTTCGGCGCCTTGTCCACATCCATCGGTGTCGTCGAGAGCTCCTTTGCCCTATCTGGAGCCCCTGACTCCGGAGCTTGACTGCCGCGCTCACTAGTAGCATGGCTGTTCTCTCCTTCGTGTATGGCGCCATTGCTGCCTGTGCGAATGCGAAACGTGGAGCTCATCTCCTCCTGTGTCGGGGCGGGCGCAAGTCGCGGCAGGCTCGCTGAGCCAGCAGTCGAACCTTCAGGCGGGGCGCTGGTCGAGGGTTCATCATCCAGTCCGACATCGCCAATATTCGACTTCCGAGAACGCTTCACCCGCAACGGGCGTTCCTGAGGCTGTTCATCTCATCTCGTCAGAACCCTCACACCGGGAAAGCCCAAACCGCAGCCAAATCAGCCAAAACTCACCGTAGGAGGCTGCTCGTCCGAGCTCCCCTCCGTCTCATCCTCCACATACGCAGCCCCATTGATACCACTGCCAGCTGCCGCGCCGGGAAACCCATTCAGAGCGCCGGCGTTGCTCATCATGGCGGCCGCGCGGGCGCGCAGCTCGGGGTTCACGCCCGCTTGGGCCTCCTCGGCCATACCGGTGACCTTGGCCAAGCGCTCGAGCAGGATACAGGACTCCAGACGCATTTTCTGGATGTATTGCCATCCGCGCTTGTTGCGCATGCGCATCATCTCGTTCTCGGCTTCGATCTCGTTTAAGCGTTTTTTTAGAGCGATGCATTTGCGTTTGTAGGCGCCTTCGACGCTGGGGGGGTTGGAGGAGGGTAGTGATGAGGAGGGCTTGGTGGATGTGTCCATTGTGGGTGTGGTTCTTTCGTTCTTTTGCTGCTTGGTCTGAGGTTCGGTTTTATGAGCGTGAGGTTGAGGGCGAAAATTAGAGGTTTGCCGAGGGTTGAGAACGGAGGATGAAGGCTGTGGAGGTTGATGAGAGTTTATAACGAGGTGTTGGATCAACACTCCGAATGGCTATCGTCAATGGTCGATTCGCTATTGTTGACGTTGGAAGGGTCGAAGCTGCAGGAAGAAAGAGAAGCCGATCTTATTGTCTTGAGATGCGAAAGTAGTGATGATTTGATCCCTTTCCCGATGATTGGATGGATATCAGCAACGGGCACGTGGGCCGTCACTCAATCAATGCTTTCTCTGCAAAGAAAAAAGACTATATTATATAAAGACAAGGTGAGAAATGAGATTGAAGACTTTTTGTGCCAATGCCAGACATCGCCATCAGGGACGCTGCTCCGACAATGGAGGATTCGCGGCTATTATTCTGCCGGGTGGTTATCAAGGGCGGTCAGTCTACTGTGTAAAGCAACAGAAGAATAATTTCAAGTCCTTCATCTAGAGTGTATCTAACTACATACGCGATAACGCCAAACAGCCTGTCATAAAAGCTCCAACACCTTAATGACCACCAGTGGTCGGGAGTCCCAGGAACACCTTGAAAGAATCATAACTGTTTCCGACGAGTCAGCGAACAGCACCATCAGGACAATCAGGACAGTAGACAACAGCACGACTTACATTAGCCATTGGAAGCCGGTCAATGTACCGAGCATTACGATCCGAACTGGCAGTCCGTTCCACAGGCCCGAGAATCCGACCTTGCCGTAAATTCGCGACACGGCCGCCATTGCCGACTCGCCGGCTGCAAGCCCGTTAGCAGAACGACAGAAGACTACCCGAGAACGTGCACTTACCATTGCGATCCGCATTCAACTTGCTAACCATGACATCGGCAGGATGGCTGACGATAGCGCAAAAGATACCGGCAATATAGCCTCCCAGGAAACTAACGCCCGTCTGCTGCAGTGTGTTGAAGCTCTCCTTGGGCCTCCCCAGCGTCCTGTAGATCATGTTCACGCTCTCCTCAAAGGTAGCAAACTTGGTCATGGTGTAAGGGATCTGCCGCGCCCAGAGCGGATACAGTCCCTTGTACAGTCCCCCGAACCCTTCTTTGGCCACGACCTTGCTCCATCCTTCGCGCAGGTTATGCGCATACGGCGGCAAAGTCGTCTGCATGCGCACCTTGATCGCTTCGAACGGGCAGAGGGCCATGTCGGCGAAGAACTCGGCTGATGCGCTGGCGCCTAGGAATACCACCGTGCGGTTCATGTTGGGGAACAAGCGGTCCCCGTACAGGTACTTGAAGTACTCATAGAGACCGTATTTGCCTGCGCCCTGGAACGAGTATCCGATGAAGGTAGGCGACCAGCCGAAGAAGACCCCGCGCAGGCCTTCCTTGGAGAAGATCTGGCGCCATGCGGAGAGATTGGACGTGTAGATGCTGGGGTCTACCTGTCGACGGCATTTGACGAGGTCGAGAGGTGTAACTGCTGTATGCGTAGGTCCTGATCGAATATCTCATTAGCAAAGGAGAATCCCATCAACAAATACTTGGTGTAAACCACTTACCACAAGCTTCATACATGAAAACCACTGCGTCAGCATAACTCCCAGCACAATGTAGCATGGATGCAACACTTACCGACAATTCCACCCAGAGTACAACTCAGGAAGTATTTCGCTGAATTGGGCTCGATCTTCCCGAACGGAAGTTGCCGCTCTTTCGAGGTCATTATGCGGTGTCAGTTCTCTACGATGTATATAATGGAAGATGCAGAAGATCAGACAATGGCAATGCGCTTTTGAATAAAAGGAACAAAAAGGAGATATACACACAAGCAGAGTCAAGGAAATTAGTCTATCTTACAAAAGAAAGCAACACGGCCAGAAAAGCACTATCTATACGCCAAAGACCGATGTGACGACGTCAGAGGACGGAGACCCAGTTCCTAGCCAGACCCAAGATCTCCAACTCGATCCGAAAAGCCACTTGCATGTCTCGATCAGAATTACACATAACTGAATCAGCCAGTGGGATGTTACTGTAGTCCTGAGTTCTCCGCTTTTCCGATAATAACGTGATGATAAGGCATAATGCGAACGGCTAACCGGCATGGCACATTGCTTGTCCATGACATGGTGATGCGGCATAGCATTCGTGCATCTGCTTATGGAGTCCTACTGCTATCTTTCTTTGTGTTTGTGTCCGAGTTGCTGATGGACATATTATTATTATTGTTTGCTCTTAACTACCAGTCATTCTGAAGGAATGTTGTGAATGTTCTAAATGTTCTTTTGAGGTGCAGCGTTGAGATGGCTTCAGGAACATCCATATCAATGACGTCATATGTCCGTTCACTGCTACTCTGTACCTCTCTACGAAGGGACCAGGGATAAGCGATGAATACTATCCCTTACAAGTTATGCATGTAAGTGAGATAAGAATCATGTACGAGAGTAATTTATATACAACTGATAAAAAGACCATGTGCTGGCGTTGATCCCACTAATGACCAGCAACTAGCAAGTGATACAGTAGTACAGCAATGGCCCATGCTTATACCACAGTTGCTTCACGGACGATAGTGTCGCCTTGGGCGGTAGGGGCCAAATAATCAACCTGCGCTTCCCCAGCTAGTATCAATGCCAGTTTGATACCCAGTGTAGACCCTACCTGGGCCAGAACGGTTCGGACCTGGTGGCTCTGTTCTGGAGTCGCCAGGCCACACGACGAGATATACCACAAGGGCCATACCATGCTGTACCCCTGGAAAGCACGAATGTGCAGCTTCCCCTCCGAAGAGGTTGGGACGGGGTTGCCCATCGCATCCACATGGCCAAAGGCAAAGGGGATGCTCCGGCACACGTCCGTGATCATTTCCTGGATCGACTCCAGAATCATCGGCTCGTCTTGAAGAAGCTCACTGTACACTCTGAATTCGCCAACGGCTGATTCAAGAATGCCGCGAAGCCGAAGTATGACTTTGAGTAGGATGATGCGAACCGCACGGTAGTAGTTCCATATCGCTGCGATCGATATCTGCTGATAGGTCATCAAAGAGTCGGGTGTCTGCGAGTAGACAACGAGGGGGAGCCAGTTATCAGGTAGACTCTGACTCCAGGCTGCGAGCCCCAAATCCACCGATTTGGCGTCTTCCATGCACGAGACCAGCCTGCCCACATCCTCCGCTCCGGCCGAGGCCTGCAAGGACGAACTCTCGAGAAATATCTGGCTAACTTTTGACACGAGGAGCATCAGCCGGTGGACCGGATCCGCACTGTCCAAGAGTCCAGCAATCCAATCAGACTTGAATCGAGGCCTGTCGCCCAGGGCCAAGAATTCGGTATGCTTGGAGCCTGTCAGCCGCTACCCACAGATACCCAAACGGAGACAAGACATACCGTATGCGTATAGGCAAAGTTGAACAGATCTCGGCCCTGCGCGTGGCCGAACTGACTCATGCCCCTCAGTTTCATCAGGATCTCCAACCCTACCGTATGCGAACTCGCAAGTCCATTGCGCTCCCCAGTAATATCTTCGAATATGGAAAGTAGAACCACCGACGCAAACGTCTCGTCCCGGACAGCTTGCGTCCGCGATTCCAGCGCCTGCCGCAGGCGCTGCAGAGCCTTGCCGTACAGATACCGCGCCTTGACAATCAACGAGGGCTCGCGGATCTCATTGCTAAGCGTGACAAGAGCCGTGGCATCCACCGCCAGTCGCAGCGACGATGACGATGCTGAGCACTCCTTCTCCCCGGCATCCCGGCACAGAGCGTACAGCGACGGCAAGAACCCCAGGTGGCTGATACACTCGCCCGTCTCATTCGAGCAAGTGTACTGGTCGAAGAAGAAGCAAATCGCCCGCTCCTCCCATGTCGAGTCGGCGATGTGACGAGCCAATAGAGGAGAACACTTCTGTTCCGAGTCTTCAACCGTACGCGGCGTTGTAGCCTGGATCATTCCCGCGCCGCTAGAAGTCGGCTTGTCAGACTGGTTTTTCTTCACCATACGCTGCACCTTCTGCGTCTCGTCCCTGAAAATGGTATCGGGCCGATAACCCGGACATGGCCGTCCATAGACGACGCAATTCCGGCACTCTGGCAAGGCCTCATCGCACTTCCATGTATTAGCTCATGATAGATTAAAGATCGGGTAGGAAACAAGATGATTTTGACTTACCCGCACTTTTCGTTTAAGGCAAAGATAGCAACCTGTGCTCGGTCTTCCTCCATATACCATATTTACATCACTCGTAGAGTTACGGAACGACAGAGAGCCTGAAGAGATTGGAGATGATGTGTTGTGTCTTTAATTATGGTTGTGGCTTCAAATCCAAGATGCAGATGTACTGAATTCGTCTGCCTGCCGCCTGGACATGATTGATGGTGTGACCAGTAAGATGACGGTCGTCTGTAGGTTCCTTGTATCTGCGCTTCTTTCTGAACCTACGACAAGAGATGAATACAATAAGATATCAAGACAGAATCTTGAGAGGGACTCCCCTGCTTTGTCTCATGGATACTCGTGGAAGATTGGATGGAGGCTGCTGCCGGCTGACAGGGACCTGGATGGACTCGTGTATTAGTCATTGCCTCGGATAACTGCCCATCCCAGTTACGCATAAAGGCACATGAATCCATGGTCAACAGAATTTAGGGATTCAACAGTGTCTCAGCTCGTAGCCAATTTCCAGCTATTTACGAAAAAGATAGCCAGCTTTGCGGCAAATCAAATGAGAGGAACAGAGCTTGGTTCTATAATGCCTATTGATATGCAAGTATATATGCCGGAAGCAGTAACAACATGACAACGAAGACCGCGACCATGAGACCACTTCTCGTCACAAGATGGAAACCAAATTCCTAGATGCCAAATACATCGCCCCCCCCGAGGTGGGTATCATCGAACCGGCGAGGAAAAATTAAACCACGTCGAAGGTACGGTATCAAAACCCGCTGACTCCCAGTTGGTATGGATGACAAGGATGGAAAAGAAAAGACAATCCAACACCCAATATCTATGCAAAAGGATTGATGATAATAAGGTAGCTGATCTCGAGATTGTGGTCCACCACCCTGCTGGTAAGCGTGACAGACGATCATCGACGACCGGTGAGATCAAACGTAAATTGCACATTGTCCAATGCTCTTCTCATTGGATCAAATAGTGCACGGAATAGAGCTGAATAAGAGGCGTCGACGAACTTGTTGAGCCTTGAATAGTACGGCAGGAGAACAATCACGAAGCAGGGGCATCCGGCATGAGGTGGTCGTCATCATTATTGTTCAAGGGTATGGTCGGAGGTGGATCTGAAAAGAGCGTTCGGTGTCGAGCTGGACGAGACGAACAATTCAAGGAGAGGTCATCTTGACTGCCTTGTTGGCGTGGGCGTAATCCGGGGGTGCTGGCGGTACTCTCCACAACAGCATCATCATCTTCTTCTGGAGGGGAGAATGTCCAGACCTATGAAATTATGTCAAGTTAGACATGTGTACTGAGGTTCTAGTGGGCCACTCACCTCCATAACAGTCCGACCCGACCGGTTAGCCAGGATCACCGCCTTTTCGTCTTCAAATGCAACTCTCCAAACCGACTCGGCAGGTGTGGACAACTCTCTGAGGAGCTGGCCTGTTTGTAAGCTCCACACCTTGACGCGACCATCGCTACCACCGCTGACAATACGCGAACTATCGAACTGAAGACTGGTCACGCTATTGTCATGAGCCGCCAGACGATGGATAGGCGCCATCTTCGTCAATGACCAAACGCGCACCGATCCGTCAGATCCGCCAGTTACCAGAGTGTCGCCTCGCATCTGCAATTGCCCGACAAGGGATGTATGTCCCTGAAGAATAGCATGGCACTGACCAGAGTGCGGATCCCAGATTCGGACACTGGTGTCGAGACTGCCGGTAGCGATTCGCCTGCCGTCAAAGGCAATCGCGTAGATTTGACTGAAATGGCCCGACAGTGTTCGTTGACACCGTCCTTCCGATATGCTCCAAATTCGGGCGGTAGTATCATAGCTTCCAGAAACAATGATATCTCCGTGGATGGCCAGACACCGAACGCTTGCCTGGTGCCCGACCAGGACATTTCGACAGGTGCCTGTTGTCAAATCCCATATGCGCAGCGTGGTATCTCTTGATCCAGAGATGGCCGTATTCTTATCGGACATCTTCAAGCAACGCACAGTCGAAGTGTGGCCCCGTAAAAGGTAAATGCCAGCTCTGGCGCCACCGTTAGCCATTTTCCTCTCAGAAAAGCTGAGCTGAGACGCCCACAGCGTCATCAGCTACCACTTACCCGGTAGCCATGTTCCAGACTCTGACCTCCCGGTCGCAACCGCCGCTCACCAGAATGTCGTCCCACGGTACCATGGCCCAGACTCCCATGACATGACCTTGTAATGTTTTCTGATTGTTCCCGTCGGTATCGTATACATGAATCTTGGCGTTGTCCAGCGCAAGTACGATATATTTTGAGGTAAGATGTAAGCTCGTGACGACACCTTGATCTGGCGTGATGTGCCGTTGGGTGCAACGGCCCCCTTTGTTCCAAGCCGACTCCACCATGTATTTTTGCTTAAAATGAGATCTGTATGACAAGGGTCGAGTCCGTCGCTTCCGTGAGGCTAAAGAGAGCCAGTCCCCAGAGCCAGAGCGAGGTAGATCGAAGGGGTTATCTGAAGGATGTAAACCCGAGACTTTTCTCTGCAGCCCGTTCAGGGAGCGTGTGCTCGAAACCGAAGGCAGGTGGAAGGGGTCAATGAAATCTCCCGACGGTCTCCGGTAAGCATAAGCGTGCTTCTCGCAGAGGTTTTTCCAGGTAATATCGTCGCTCAGGAGGTCACGCCAACGTCTAGAAACCTGAGAGGCTCTCGCCAAGGTTTTCGGGTCGTCGATGAATGAGAGAACCTAGTGTAATGAAGGGCGCTTAAGTCAGTTCTGTCCGGGAAACTCAAACGATCGTCAACGGAAAGCTTACCCTCAAGCAAAGTTCAGTTGGGAAGACTTGAAACGGATCTTTCCTTAACCGTGGAGTGACATAACTTGACACAAAGCTGAGAAGCTGACTATCGCACAGACCGAGTACACCCTCCAAAAACCTCTGCTTCTTCGCGCTGGACAAAGAAGTGAAATGTATCCTGGCATTCAGGAGAAAGGCATCATCTTCCTCGTCTGAGGACTGCCACGTTGGAGGTCTCTGGTGAGGGGTCGGGCTAGGGGCCGGAGTCGGAGGTGACGCAGGTGCGGAGGGTAATAGACTCGGAGGAATAGGAGTGACGGTCTTGTTGGAGGACAGAGATCTCGAGTGGGAGGCTGAATTCCGTGCGGCAGATGATCTGGAATGTGCAGTCTCCAACTGCTCAGAAACAATACGCGGAGTCATCCCGTTGTCCACCCGTTCGATGAATGACGCCCGACGAGTGTGTTCGCGAACTGCCGTGGAGGGTATGACGGTTACAACATGCACTTTTGTCAACGGCAAACGATGATTATCGATATGGACTTGCAAAAGCCTTTTGAGGATCGACTTCGATCATAGAGAACGTATCGTTTCTCTTGAGAGGGATCAAAACAAATATTGTAAGAAAGAGAGGTGAGGAGGTCAAAGGAGGACTGATATTGAGTGAGGAAAGAGAAAGTGAGATGATGACAAACGGATAGACTCCGATGCGAGAGCGCTAGAGAGGCGCTCTGACGAAAGAAGGAAATAGGGGGGATAGGAAGAAAAGTGAAAAGAAATGGGAGTATTATATTTTATTTTTCGTTTGAGAGAGTGAAGTTGGGAAAAATTACTCGAGGAGGAAAACGGGAGAAGGTCAGCTACATCCAGCAACAGCGGCTACTTTGACGCCATTCAGATGCCTGAAAAAGAAGGCCGAATGTATATCAAAACGGCAAGCAAGCGGTCCTAAGACTGGCGGGAGGAGAGACAGTTAAGGTAGTGTCTGGAGTCTGGAGTCTGGATCATGCGGTGGACGTCTTGCCGGGTCAGGTGCGGGCCTCATGAATAGCATAATCCATAGTCAATTCCCCTAGAGGCTTAGGTACGCGGGCATCTGGGCCACTCTCGTCTAGGCTTGGGAGAAATGGGTACTTTGTAGATAGTTCTCTGCAGATTTTGATATGGCACATGAAGAGCTAGGTGTCTCAGCTTCGGAAAGAAAAACCCGTCAAGCCTGCAGTGAGTGACAAGTAGTAGGCGAACAAAATCAACCAATCTTCATCTGCTTTCAAATGATATGATGTTGAACAGAGGTATATGATTTCTGATGATCATCTTGTCTCCACAGTTGACGATAAGAGGATACCAGGCTCCACAAGGCGAAAAAATAGTGGTAATGACAAACTTTGGGCAATCTCAATAGACGCAGTCACAGTGAGCAAGAAATCACGTAGAGATATGTACATCAGAGTTATCTTTCCTTCACAGACTCCTCGTCACTAGTAGACTTCTTAGTATGCTAGCTGAAGAGCAGAATCCAGAGGTATAATAACCCCTCGTATTGGCGCAGTGGCACAGGCAAACCCCCAAGCTCGCAAGTCTGTCGTCAAAGGAGGCGAAGAAAATTGCAGAATCGGACGTACTTCAGCCACCACATGCCTGTCTATATCTGCTTTAAATGACTAATGTGCACATGGACTGTCAGATGGCTCTATTTGATTATCTTATCAGACGCTTGGGATCTGCACATTCTGCGGCCGCAACGGAATCCGCACTCCAAATATTTATCTCATCCATGGACTCTCTGGCCGTTCAGATTCCCAGATTTAGTGATATGGTTGTCCCAGGAACCTGGATTGGCAAACAACAATATCTTCAACCATGGAACAAATATGTCCCAGGTATCGTCCGGACATGACGAATGGTTTCATCATCAGTGTGAAGGCGCTGAACACAAATGCTATACTATACAGCACAAGCACGCCAACAACAGTCGCATATAGTATTTAGAATAATACAGTAAGTCAGAGCAGAGCCACGGCTCTTCCAGCGGAATGAGATACTGGTATAGCACACAACAGGGGGAACGGTTTAAAAAGTCGCTATAGCTCTTGCGAACAGATGAATCCTTCGTTCGAACGCGCAAAGTCTATAGTATTCAAGATCGCCATGAGTTCATTCTTCTAGGCTCGCCGAGGAGCCACAAGTCTGAGACCAGACCGGGTCCGGATTTCTAGCCAAATTAGATCAGAAACATAGGGGATTAGAAGGCAAGAAGTTTTAAAGAAAGCGGAAACACGTTAGTGAGCATGACCGAGTTGCAAAAACATCGGCAGTATCATGCCGATGACAGAAGCGACCAGATCCCGCATTGACTTGTCGGATTTAGTAGGGATGTCTCTTGAATCGCCGTATCCATTCATTGGTAGTTCGCGCAACTCCGAGTTCGGGCTGTTCTCCTGCATTGTATGCATGGCAACGTAACTAAAGACGGTTAGTCACAGTTGTCTCTTGCAGTCACCGAGACCAGAGGATAACCTACAGGAAAGTTCCAGCAGAGAATAGCAATAACATTCCAGTCCTCCACAAAGTGGCTGCCTCGTCACTGCTAGAGCCCGAGCCCACAATCCGCACGAAGAGAAATGTTGCCAATGCGCCAAAGGGCGCCGCCAGGCTGAAGACCACCAGATGCGCTCTCGCGGTCCGACTCGACACGCCCTGCTTGAGCAACACCGATGTAAGTCCAAAGGACGCGGGAGCTTTGTGCACCATAATAGCCAGGAAGATGATAAAACTCAACCCGGTATCGGAGGTAGATGCACCCAGAGCGATGCCGTCAGCTGCCGCATGGATGACGAGACCGGTGGTTGTCGCAAAGCTATGGCTTCGACTAGAGGTACTGCCGGCGTCCAACAACCCTCCTTCTCTGGAGGGGGAGGGGTTGCGTCGCAATCCGGAACCCAGATTGTCTAGAGAAATGTGGTAGGGCGGTCTTTCTTGCTTTGAAGGCGTTGCGAAATCGGGTAATTTATCGATGAGGTACATCAGGATAAAACCGCTGATCAGGGCAACTCCAATCCAAGCATGTGAAGAGTTCTCGTCTTTATGTCCATTGTGTTCAACCTTATTCGACTCAGCCTCGTCCTCTCGCTGCCGCAATTCAGACTGGTCGTCGCGCGTGACGTGCACTGTCTGTATGAGTGGAAGTGTAGAATCTGCTTCCTTGTTCGAGTTGGAAAAATCGACCGCAGCGACAGCCGGAAATGATCGGTGTTGCCATTCCACGGCCGTCATTGAACGAGTGCTGAGACCTTTTCGATCATTATGCGAGCTCGCACTGTAAAGAGTTTCCACACCCTCCGGAATGATAACAATTAAAGATGTGCCAACCAAAACGCCCATTCCGAGGGAAGAAATCAATCGCAACTGCGAGGGGGATAGTGTAAAGGCGAGCGGTAATGAGCCAACAACGAAGGATCTACATCAAGACGAGACGTCCATTAGTTTTCTATTCTTCCCAGAGATGAACGATAATGATCTCAATGCTCACGTAATTGCCATCACAATGCTCAAAGCGAGCAAAGTGAAGAGTCCCTCCATTGTCGACCTTTCGTCCCAAGAGCGTTTGTCTCCGCTTTATAGGACCTCAAACATGATGTCAGTTGCGCGATTGGTCGAATAGCTTGCGCTGGTTGGGTGTCAGTAGGCACTGAGGCTATGACTGGGCCTTGACAGAAGTGTTTGATTGAGGAAAAGAATGAGTCCGATCGAGGAGTAGATAGTCTATACAGGATTTACTCCGTTTGGGATATGAAGGAGACACCGCAGACGGACGACTAAACGTGGCGTGGCCAAGCAGATTGCGATCCGCCGCAAAGGGAACAGTCCGAGAGGGCGGCAAGACCCACCAAGCGGAAGAGGGCAATGTTTCAGGAACAAGGAGACTTAACTCCGTAGATAGTCGAGCAATAGCAGTGATTTTTCAAATTTGGGACTAAATAATAGGCAAGCAGGGACATCTCGCTTTTGTATATTCCGAGGCACGACATGATCTTAAGTTCGTCAACAAGCTGGTTCTTTGTTCCTCAATCCTTCTCAATAATAACTAAATGCAGATCGACATCTAGCTTTGCACGTGCTGACGTTGAAGCCTAAGGAGTCAACGCTTCGTGTTAAGTCCCAAGAGCTTCAAGTACGATTTCAATGCAACTATATCACAGAGCTGGTAATGAGGTCATCCAGTAGAAGTTGAATAGCATGAGGATAGCAGACGTGGCCAAGCCCTGAATTCCTGATCAGCATCCCACCAAGAATTTGCCATACTGTGTGTCCTTTGCGCTTTTCCTTGACTATCCAAGTGACCATCTCAGCACTTTCTTGCATGTAGAGTTTCGTTTCCGGATATGAGCCTTGGTTTCCACAATTACGAATGCTTCTTCACGCCCATTGGGACCGTACATATAGCCACTGCGTGGGTGTCCATGCTGGCTTGACTGAAGTCAATTTTGAATGCGAGACGTCATATACCCCGGTCACAGTCTGAGGAGGTAAATGAAGCTCTGCTAGGGGACGACAACTCTGACGAGGGTTCCAACATTTCTCCGAGTTGGGGATCTTATAACTACCGCGTTGAGAAATGCCATCAGCGTCTGATGGATATATTGCTCGTTGCTGGTTTGTTTGAATGTCTGCCCCTCCTGCCCAGCCGCTGGTGTCAAATGCAAGTCAGTTGTCCCCAGTTAATGCTCGTAATAGAAAACTAAAGCCGGGGAAATAGCGAGAAATATCCTCCCAGACAGCGATTTTCAGCTGTTTCTCATATTCGGGGTTTTTCGACCACGCAGTCCACAAAGAATGGACGCATTTCGTTAGAGTCCCGCTGCTCAGCGTTTTCGGAATTCAGCTAGAAAGGCAGAATATGTGTCCCTTCCAAGTCGGCAGTCAATTCATCAGGATACTCATCCTCTTTGTTAACATCGTATTCGCGGGATATGACACATTTATCCCTGCCTCTCTTAAGTGCAGCCTCTCGCGGCCGTTAGACAATGATATGTACGGTGCCATAATCAAGCCGGGCTCTTCCCGTGTGTGGTCGAGGAGTTCTGTTTGCCATCTCTGCGTGGTGTACAGTGAGATGCAGCCAATGTCATAGTAGATGAAGTATATGAAGGTTAAGAAATGGTCGATGCCGATGGTAAACCGTTGGTTGTTGTCATCATCTCGCCAGCTCTCCCTCCAGTGTCAGGCTGGCTCGTCTGCAGGGCTCCTGTGGTCGAATTTGTCTGACCGGGAGCTGCAGGGTCGCCACGGGCCCCGTTACCGCCAGGTCCGGCTTGATTTTCTACATCTTCCGCGTTGGGCTTCGGGGCTTCGACCTACTGCAGGTGCATACCGGCCATTTGAGGATTACCAGTGCCCCGTCCCAGTGCCACTTGTGGACTTTCCCCAGCCTGGTTGTCATTAGCCGCAAGGCCTTTGCCCAAAAAGTAAAGATTGATCGTTTACCATGAAGGTCCTTGGGAGGCTCCCACTTGAGCACAGGGCGCTCCAAGCCCGTGAAAAAGTGTCTAAGTCATTTCTCATCAAGGAGGGATCAATGTGCAGAAACGGCGGCTACCGAAGTGAGGGTCAAGCAGCGTAAAAGACGACTGCTAGTGGAGTAGGTGAGAGACTAGGTGATAGTTCCTCAGTCAGCTCCCCACGCGTCATTGACTCACGATGATATTAGGAAGACACTCTAGGGAGCTTCAATCCCTATCCATGGCAAAGGAGTGACCTTGGCCGCCTTGTCCACCGCCACCTTCATTGGATTTAGAGAAGTCCTGCGATGATGCTTGAACATCTGACGAAGAAGCTTCAGCGTGACCTGACTGAGGGAGAACTGTTACTGTACACGACCACCGCCTATACTTCTTCCAAAACCAGGGGAAAGGTGTCCTTAAGCTCGCGCAAGCGAGCTGCGCCTTCCACAGTCGATTCCGTCCCAGTAACAGGGGATAAATGCAGTACGGATTCCTCGAAGAATGCATTCTGTGCAGCAATCCATGCCACATAGCCATCGTCTCCTGGAAGGAGACTGAGCAGGCGCTGCCCGTGCTAATGATGCCATTCATCTTCGGTGGACTCGACCCCGGGAGGCTGTGGGTAGCCAAGCTCAGAGTGACGAGCGGCGCAAAATTCCTGTAGGTATCCATTTCCTCGTTCTGAACCGTCAATTAATCATTATGATATCGGAGGGGAAACATTGCAAGACCTACCTCGATGGCCTTCTTGGCTCTTGTGCTCCTCAGTGTCATGATTCGCCCAATTGCACGTAGTCCTTCAGCATCGCCTGAACGTCATCGGGCATCTCTGTGAAAATGATTGTATCGGCTTCTGATTCGTCGCAGTCATATCGGACTCGCTTAGGTCCGGACTGGACGGCAGACTCTCTCATCGGCCATCTTTTATCAGAATCCAATTCCGCTGGATGGTCCAGACGGTGGTAGTCCTGTCTAGGGATTACATATCATAGTTACAACGGTGTAATCTTTTGGCAGTTATCCGAGATGGAGAAGATGGGGAGAGACTGCGGCGCTGGAGTCGGTCCTGTTGCAGGCTTGCAGCTCGGCTAGAGAGTGGATAATGCAAGTTCTCAGGACCTTGCTCTTGGCTGACGGTCTAATCTGGTGTCGAAGCCATTCACAGTCATGTTCTCCCTTGCGAGATGAAGAAGCGGCAGCAATTCACATGCCAGTAGTTCCCACCCTGCTCAAGGCGATTGACTCTGCTTCTGTCACTGTCACTGCCATTACTCTGATTGAAACACGCTGATATGCTCGCCCTGCCTCCAAAGATGAGAGTAATTTTGTTGACATTTTCCAGCAGAACTCGGTTTAGCCGATTTGAAGGCTGTTATGTGGCCTCTCCTACCGATGCGATTGAGTCTCCCCAAGACAAAGGATCAAGTCTTCTGCGTAATTTGAATAGTCGCTTAATGCGGCGGTTGTGGTCATCGGGAATCAGTGTTCCAACGGGCCCGCTGTCATGCGGTAGGGAAGACCGCACTTCATTATAGCTACTATCTTCATAATACGGAGTGGTGTGGAGGGGCCTGTCAATGCCGGTTATCTCAGTCGTCTGTCGGACTCCTTCCATCGAAGCGACGGGCATGGGGCACCAAGTCAAGTTTAGTCACAGATAAGAGCTGCGAGATATTGGTACTACCCTTGCTAGAGAGGCCACCAGTCGCATCATAGTCCCGTAGCAGTCGGGCGATCTTCGCACCCTCGCCGGTGACATGGAGAATGTTCGCAACGGCACAGTGAACTTGAAGTAAAATGGGTGAAGCCAACGGGAAGCGTCCATCGTGGGCTGTCATGCTGATAGTTCCACTCGCTGGTAGCTCAGCTCGATGGGCTGTTGCAAAACCACGGAAGGTCTTGACACGATATTGGTTTATGGTGCCTGTTATCTGTTCGAGTGCAAGACTGAATCGTCGAAATTGGGTGTGAAGAGGTAGGGAGAGCGTCATCACATTTACCATGGAGTTAATGTCCTGATAATTGAAGTTCAGCTGGGAACGAACGCTCGGGAAATAACGAGATATGTTCGTCCAAACAGCTATTATCCGCTGTTTCTCATATTCATCTTTGAACTTGGATAGAGCAAAAGGCACAATATATGCAGTTTCCAGGTCAGCAGTAATTTGGTCGGGATATAACTCCTCTGATAGAACGTCGTAATGACCCGATACAACGCATTTATCGCCATCTCTGCGAAGCGCATCCTCTTGTAGCTGTTGTTGGGCACGTATCATCAACTCGTGCTCGTCCGCCGTATTGGCAAGATGTTTTAGCGACTCTTCACTGCTCAACCGCGGTATCTCCACCTTCTTGATACCGGCAATCATTATCGGTTTGAGAAGGCCTGAAACGATATTCTGGGCAAGCCGGTGTAACTGATTGCCTGCCCCAGCCTGAACGATATCCTTGGCAAGGTTAACTCTACCATCTGATGGAAGGTACCTGAACGTTTCCCAAAGGAGCTTCACAGTCTCGTCGTCCGCATCCAAGGGCACGTAGCTGTTCAGTGTTGCGCGTACTTCCCCAGGCATCTCCTCAAAACGGGTGACATTTGTTGTCGCCTCTCTTAAACCAGAGCAGCTTGTACCCTGATTGGGCTGCATGCTTCCGTAATCGGCCATCTTTTGGTCGCGAATCGAATAGATAGTTATTATCAACATTCAATAACGCTAGACTGGAAAGATATCTGGACGATGTAGTTCATACTCTAGCGGTTATATATGAGATTTACGGTGATTAAATAATATTTTGGCAGTTATCGGAATTGGAAAAGGTGTGGAGAGATCTGCGGCACTGGAGCTGACCCAGTTGCAGCTCGGCGTAGAACGAGACCTTTTCAATTCGAGACTCTCAGGGTCTTCATTGCTCTTGGATGATGGTAGCTGATGCACAAACAGGTTCGAGTGAGGTTGTATGATACAATGCTTACCAGCACACTATCGTTGCACCGTGCATTTAACCATGGTATCCCCTTCGCTGAGTCCTAATCCGCTGTCACCCAATTAGTATTACTTGCGCAGCTAACTTGGAATAATATCACCTCTTCTTCAAGGAACGAACTTGCATACGAATCTGCTGAATTTCTGGAGATGGAATTAGTAACTCAGTACTTGACTTGGATCGTCCGACAAACGGAACAAGTTCAAGGTCTTGCTAAATCGGCGACTGTAACCCTCGCTAGCCCTCAACCAGAAGAACCTAGCCGGGTTACTGCTCAGCAAGAATCATCTCCACCAAGCCAGTATGAGAACTATCTCAGAAACGGTGAAGGACTCCAACTGTATATCCCCTTGTATTGCAGTTTTCGCGGGGATATCGTTATACAGGAGCGCGAATATGCCCGAGAGTATGCGCTATTAGCATCTGGGCTGCAACCTGATCTGACGTTTGAGCAGAAGGCATTGTTCCCATTGCCATAGACACAGCCTTGAGCGAGGATACCCAAGCAAACTTATGAGACAATGGGTTGTCATACACTATCTATGGAAGCAAGATCCAATTAGCTGAATTGACGAGACTTTAAGTTATCAATAGAAGTGCCTTTCTAAAATGTATCAATCAATGCATCTAGCTGCAGCTTCATGATAGTTAGATGGACGGGTAACACTAACAGCTCTCAATGCGCTAATCCTAGAAAGGTTATACCTGCTAAGCTCTCCGCGCAACGCGATCATCCGCAACACGCGTTGAGAAGGACGAGAGATTATCTTCAGCTTTGGTCTTTCACTCTGTTGCCGTCACTTTCCCTGTCATCTGTCTATACTGTGTCAGTATGGAAAACGAAGGCGACTGTATTTTCCCATCCCATTCCACGTCAACTCTTTTCCTCACTGCCCTGGATCTAGCTGATCGTGAAATGCATTATTCCAGGGACGTGCGATGCGAACGACGCCGTCAACATCACCATAGTTCAGCCCGACGAACAGAAGTTGAAGACAGTCTCTAGCTTTCATCCTCAATTTACATACCCCATCTTCGGCGATGATGAGAGCATCTTCGGTTACAAGGGCTTGATTATCCGTCTACGGTTCGCGGCGCATGACCTCCGCCCACACCTTCACATCTCCTACGATGAGAAGTTCAAGCCCGTTGAGGACATTGCAGCAGTGGATATTCTGAAAACATTGAAACCATGGATCCCAGAAGGTTGATATCACTCCCTAATATTGCTCGGTTTCTCTCTAATCAAGACATCAACTTGTAGAGGCCTTTGTCACCCTCCCCGACTATGAAAAGGCCGTGCTCGAGGATAAAGCCGCGAAAGATTTCAAACCCCCGGGCAAGTTGGTACACAGCTATGTTTCTCGGAATAGAAACTATGAGATCTGGGCCGGCTCGCTGGCTGACCCTGAAGTTCGACGGTTGCTGGATCGCGCTCAAATCTTCGTGTCGCTCTTCATCGAGGCAGGCACCCCTCTTGCTACAGATGATCCCGAGTGGACGCTGCAAAGATGGACTGTCTACTTTGTGTATGTGGATCTGCTGTTCCATGACGTGATGACCCATCACAGCCGCTGATGAGTCCCCTACAGGTACGAGAAAGTGAAACCTCCAACACCCACTGCTTCCGAATACTCCATCGTTGGATATGCGACAACATATCGCTGGTGGCATTACCGCAGGGACAAGACACAAGTCCCTGTTGTCAAGAACGATCCATTTCCATCTGGACCGGAAATTCATCCTTCACAGCTCCCATCGCGACTGCGTATCGCCCAATTCCTTATCCTCCCTCCTCATCAGAATTCAGGACATGGCAGACACTTGTATACCACCATCCATTCGGCGTGTGTACAGGACCCCACTGTTGTTGAATTGACCGTCGAGGATCCGAACGAAGCCTTTGATGTTCTCCGGGACTCTGCGGACTATCACATACTGCGTCCTGAATTCATCAAGCACGAGGTGAACATCAACCCCGACCCGTACGAGGCGCACTCAAGAAACCAACGCCCACGACGTGTTCCTACGGCTGCCCTCATTCCAGTCAAACTCCTCCATGACATTCGTACATCATACAAGATTGATTCTACACAGTTTGCTCACATTCTCGAAATGTTCCTGTTGAGTCAAATCCCTCTCAAAAACAGACATGCCGGCGGAGCAAACATGTCGCGGCTCCTGATTAAGAAGCACAGAGCGGATGATCCTAACGAGCGGCGCTACTACTGGTGGCGCATGCTCACCAAGCAGCGCCTGTACAAACGATCCAAGGACATCCTGATCCAACTGGATCTTGATGAGCGCATCCAGAAACTCGAAGAGACAGTGTCAAATGTTGAAGAAGGCTACGAAGTTCTTTTGAAAGAATTCACGGAGCGGGAAGAGAAACTCAAGGCCAGAGGGGAAGAAGAGTCGCCAGCTGCCGCAGGTTCGGATGATGCGAGCGCTGGACCCAGCGGTACTAGCAGAGATCAACGGGTCAAGCGGAAGTTCACGGTAGAGGACGACGAGGACGAGGTTGAGGAGGGAGATACGGCCAAGCGAACAAAAGTGTAGAGGCGAACACAATGCCTTGACGGTGCAGTTAGTATTGAGAACCTGCACAACGTCCTTTCTATGTATTTTACCAATTGAATCCTTGAAATTCGTTATTCTACACAAATGTATGTGATGGTATCTACTTACAATCGCACGAGTTCACCCAAAGCCGCTGATTGGAAGCCAAAGTACTTTAGGATGTGTCACCGTGCGGTGTACCAATGGTAATTGATCTGCTGAGCGATAATGAATGACCCATCGGAGATACAATGGGTTGGATGGAAGAGTATCAGAATGGAAATAATAATAATAATAGTAATATGAGCCTCCAACTGTTGTCATACTGTATCGCCAATCTCGGATCTTCACTTTCTCCGGGTCTCTGCAGTTGCGACCACCCGCCGCTTGTAAGCTCATGTGGAGCTTATTTGATACCCTTGGACATATCATATAACTTCGCTCTGATTCCCTTATATTGTATCACGTATATTATTGACTGTCCTTTCCATTATCTCTCTTCCTATTTCATTGACCGGGAAAGGCGCTCTTTGTGCCGCCTTTAAAAGCTCAGCCCCAGCCTAACTATTCCTCACACATCTGCCCAACCTCACAATGGTCAGTAAGAACCCCACGGGGCATAGTTATTGCTCCCACATTTTGCATCTCGTATCGCTAAGATATTGCGCACCTCATAGTTACCACTGGGTCTTCTGACGGCCGCGCAAGGCCACCCCATGCTTGTGGAGCTCAAGAACGGCGAGACACTTAACGGACATCTTGCCAACTGCGATAACTGGATGAACTTAATACTCAAGGAGGTTGTTCAGACTAGCCCTGAAGGCGACCGCTTCTTCAGATTGCCAGAGGTCTACGTGCGAGGAAACAATGTGCGTTACCTACATCCTACACTCGATGTGGGTCTCGCTCCAAGCTAATGAGCGTTTAGATCAAATACCTGCGAATCCCGGAGGAAATCGTGGAGATGGTCAAGGAACAGCAGCAGAATCAGCCGCAGAATCGCAACCGTGGTGGCCGCGAGGGCAGGGGCGACAGAGGCCGTGGTGGTGGCCGTGGCGGTCGAGGTCGCGGCCGGGGTCGTGGCGGCAGTTAGATATGGATATGATACTGCGTATAACGAGACGAAGAGAGAACAATCGATACCCCGGGGAGATCAAGCATGTAAATTGCTAGGAAGGACCGGTTGGTGGGCTGTTTGTCGAGCATGGCCTTGGCGTATCTGGCTCGGTGGCATTTTTTTCCAATGGGAACACTGCTCTTGAATATGGTGGTCCAGTAGATCTGTCCGCAAAATACAAAAATTTATCAGAATACTTGTGGTTATGTCAACCCCATCTGTCCAGGTTGAATTCTGGTTATTTCTCTGTCGATGTCACAAGTCACGTGATTGTGCTTCTCTTCTTCGGCTTCCCGATGCGCAAAGACAACTCCGCTCTGCATGGGCTCGAGATGCGCCGAAGTACGGTGATTCTCGATGGACTCTGGTATTGTCTATGTCCATCATTTCGGATCAGTGCTTCGCATAATACCAGGCTGCCATTCACGAGAGGGAAAAGGCCACAAAGACATGATTTCTTATCGGCAATCGGCACTACTCCGCGAAGATGTCTGAACAGCGATGCTACAAAAGGTAGTGAGGAGTCAAAGGCGCAAAGAGGTACTGAAAGCCACGGGAATGACCCCAACGGGTCCTCAATAGCGCAGCAGTCTTCGCAACGATCACAATTGAATTATGAGCGCTGGGAAAATGACAGTCCGCCGCTCAATTCCAGCATTACCCTACCGTCGTCTCCCGGGGTACCCAAAAATCTCGAAGAGCGGTCAACGTCGGACCTTGAGAATCGACTTCAAGAACTAGCAACGGGAAGCCCTAAAATCCTCAGCGCGTCGCAGATATTACGAATATTGATTAGAGATCGCCATGTCCGGCCCGAAGTACGACACTACCGAGCGCTGATTCTCGCCAACTCCGATGCGGAACGCGGTTCTCCGGAAGTTGTTCGCCAGTTACTCTCGGAGATGGAAAAGAATGGGATACCTGCAGATTCCGGTACACTTCATGCTGCATTGCAGGTATGGCAGTCTCATTGCGTCTAACGGCACAGCTCTACGAGTGCAGGGTTCTTGACTAACACGGACGATATTCATAGGTTCTCGCTGTTCATCCTGATTATCTACTGCGTCAAGAAATACTGCGCACCCTCCGAGATCGATGGCTGCCTCTTAGTCCCGCTGGCTGGCACTACGTGGTGGCCGGCCTCTTGAGAGAAAACCAATTCGAACTCGCACTAGACCATATTGCGCACATGGAGCGAAAGGAAATCGTGGTCGAGAATTGGCTACACAGTCTGTTAATATACAATCTCTGCGACATTGGGGATTTCGACGAAGTTCTCCGGCAGATGCGCAAGCGGACAAGTCAGGGTCATGACATGACGACGGAACTGTGGCTGTATGTGTTGGATGTGGCAGTCGCGGCATCTCATCTCGAAACTACTCGATACATATGGACGCAAATGGTGCAACTGGGGTACCTCCATCCTTCGAAAGTCCTGTGTAGGGACACTCTGACGGTGGCGGCTGAAAAGGGCGACACTAAGCTCGCTTCTTTAGTGATCCGGTTTCTTTCGGAAAGCGATGTCCCTCTGATCTTGCAGGATTACGAGAAGACGGTAGAGGCCCACGTCAAGTCCGGCAAGCTCTCGTCGGCGTTTGAAATTCTCTGTAAGATGCACAAAGCCGGTATCAAATTGGAACACAGTTCGACCCGGGCCATTTTCAACTACATGGTTCAGACGAGGACTAGTCCACGGCAGGCATGGGCTATTCTCAAGAAGCTGAAGTCCTTGAAGTACCCGATCCCGATGGAATGCGCGCATGTGGTCATCGAGCTTTGCGACTATGAATCCTTCAATGACCCATTTGCGGTTGATGAAGGGATCTCGCTTTATCAGGAGCTCTATACCTTATGTCCAGGCAAAGCCGACGTTTCCATCTACAACACGCTTATAGGGATGGCTCGCAGAGCAAAGAACATTCAAGCCGGCATGTTTGCGGTAAAGGAGATGTCCTCGCTTGGGGTGATCCCGAATGACAAAACTTTTGAACACCTAATCATGATGTGCTTAGATGCTGGCAATTTTGAATCGGCGTACAGGTACTACCAGGATTTGGTGGCGCGAGGGTTCCGTCCCGATGCATACACTCGCCAACAGATCAAGAGCGTATGCTCCGAGTCCAACGATCAATTTGCGATTCGATTGAGAAACGATCCACAGATGCAGGATGACCCAACGGAGGATCTCATTGAGCGCCATGAGGGAGCTTCAGACCAGTCGGTTTTCATCAGAAAGATAGGGTCCGAGACGCCTCCAAGATATGCAGACCGCTCCGAGCGTCGCATGCGGGAGCCTCCCATGCGGGTGCTTCTGTCAAAGGAAGCCCGTCGAGCGGCGAGCAAGGAGAGACGAAAGAGGAAGCGAAGACGCTTGGCGATGGCCAAGGCCCAAGAAGAGGAGGGCTGGATGGACTATGAGCCAGGGGGCCTGGTGCCGGAAGATCAGTTGAAGCCTGATGAGACGCAAACCAGCTAGATTTGGAGACGAGGGGCTGAAATGGGGCCCTGTCGTCTAGTTGTATATGTATCACAATTTATACATTGTATAGTACAGTTGTATACCCGTCGAATACGAGGAAATGACAAATGATACCACCACTGGAATTGTCTCTCGAGTAGCAGAGTTGTCACTTGTCAGCGAGTCGGTGACGGCCCCAAGGGGTTGCTCGTGATCATTACTCTTAATTGTGTGTCCATCAGATATTTTAGCCATGACTAGCGGTGGCTGTCAGGAGTAGCACTGCTTGAATCCGAGTGAGACACAATGGAACATCAACGAGATCGCCTAAACTTTTAGTGAAACCCCCAGTGCATTGACCCTGGTTGAAGCCAAGAATCGTGGTCAAACACTCAAACTTCGGTTCGAACTTCGAACTCCTAGTCGAAAGTCTCACGATGATCAACAGGAGCGAACTCAGAGGATAGACGATTCAGGAGGCACTTAACCTGGTCGCTGATTTAATTGCAATGTCTATGATTAAGGGATACTGATCCCTTGTGAAATTATGCAGGGAACGACCCAATGCAACACTGCATACAATATTGGTATCCGGGAAGATTGCAGGCCAACATAAGCTCTGAGAACTGATACTCTTGCAATCGAACCTTAGCCGACATTTGAACTATGGTTCATTGCACCACACCTTCATAGTTCACGCTTTTACGGAGCATCCGAGTAGCCGTTCAAGGGGCGGAGGGACGTCTCAAACACTGGACTGTGACAAGTGCCAAACTATACACGGATCCTCGGTTTGCGATCGTCGGAGCGAAAAGCCAGTCAAGTCAGTCCATTGTTTGATGATCAGATCTTGAGATAACAATGGGGTTGCAATTGATTCATCGCACTGCAGACATTGGTCTCTTTGGTTTTCGGTACTTCGTCACACCTACAGCGCGGGTTCTCCTGCTGATTATAATTAGAAACCAGACGAGACATCCAGTGACACAGCTTCGTGCACCTCGCAGATTTACAGGAGATCGACATCCGCGGTTGGAAACCTAAGCACACGGCAAGGGTGCATGGTCATTATGATGTTTCCCATTCTCATTGACTGACAGCTTGAGGACGCTGGAAAGTCTGCTCCACCTACGCCAGCAGGCCAGAAGCAGCAGGTCTCTCCCATGCTTGCCTGCCCTAGAACTTGTTTGGCTATATATGAGTCGCAGACATTCTTGATCACGTCGTCTTCTCTTTCAGCACCCTTCTTCCTCTTCGTTGCACACTCCATTCTTCATAGTAAAGACCTTAATGGATAGTCGCCACGCTTTCTGTTGATCTAATCTAATACTTAATATCCATCTTGCCGGTGTATATACCTCCTGCACGTATATATCTCAGTCACCCCTTATCTATCTATAATTTCATACCGCGATCATCCACATCAACGGTCAACATGCAGTTGGCTACATTCCTGCTGGTCGCGCTCCTGTCGATCTTCGACATTACCTTGGCAGCTCCCACCTATCACCATTACACCGTGAACCCTGCCAACCCTGCCCTGACCTGGCATGTCTCCAACTTTTATACTGGCTGCTCTCCTGGGGGCTGTGCCTATCGATTCGATATTCTCGGAATCGCCACTCCAAACACTCCCGGTTTCAACACTACATGCAACGGCACCGACGTGGAGACAGACTACACCTTCTGCAGAGACAAGCACATCAAAGCTAAACTGACAACTTTGAAGTCTCGCGCATGGAAGGTCGAGGTCATGCACGCTTGGTTCAAACCTGGAGCCGAATTCTATGCCGAAGGTTCGGCCAACGTCACAGCTTCCATGAGGAACTTTACAATTCCTGTGACGGATACATATGGTGCTGCTTAAACTAGCTGACAACGGCGCTTCGCTACTTGATCACGAAATGGCTTGATCTGAGACTCAGGTCTTTGATGGAAGGAGTTAAACGCGTTGATCCGCGAGAATGGCCTTAACTCTGACGATATGAGGGTCAAGAAATGATGTACAAACCGGGATCTGTACCATTGATATGAAGATTGGTCTGTTTTTGCTAATGTCGACTTAACGATGGACCCATGTTATCGGGATATTCCCATAACAGCATCTATGTATTGTGATATATGTCAGGCTCGAACTCACTGTGGTTCTGTTAATAGACTAGCACGAGAAAGTGAAAAGAAGAAACTAAAACGCTTCCTTATTACCTATTATTTCTACCCCAAGTACCACTGTAGTTCTAGGTAAATCGTAAACAATCATGGTCGCTGCTCTGGTGGCTGTGAGCCTGTGACATCATCCCCGCTTTGTTCCCCCGAAGCATCCCCAACTGGACAGTTGAGGCCCGCTTATCAAGTATCACTATTTCCAAGGCTGTCGTGACAGCGTCCTTTGCGTGGAATATTTAGATTGCTTCAAACAATTAATTGATAACATCAGATGATCAGTCTACAATAAGTGCATATTCATTTTGACCACTATCAGAAGATCTGGACTCCGCGTGTTCGATTGGCATCAGCTGCAACCTTCTCCGCTCGCCTGGAAAACCGAGAGACCACAGCGAGAACGAGGTCTTTGCAAATGGTAAGATAGCCATTTTGGAAAGGCTTTCTAAGGATTCACTCACTTACAAAAGACCTGCAGCTGGTTCGCGACACTTGATATCAATGGTGCGTCTTTACGATTTGCCCCTTTCCCTTATCCCTAGATCCAGCAACTTGTTTGACGCCTTGCCGAGACTGACCAACAATGCTTGGCTCCTTGATTGATGCAGGCGTCGATCCTCCGGCAGATTGTTGCTGGACCCAGAATAAGACATCCTGAGGCCGGCCTGGACCTCTGCTACGTCACAGACAACCGTGAGCGTTCTGTCCGATCCTAGTAGTGATGTCTCGAAATCTTCTTCCTATTATTCAGTTGGCTCCTCTGACACATATTTCTTGCGCATAGTCATTGCAACCTCAGGACCGTCCTCTAACTATCCGCAACGTGCATATCGGAATCCTCTCGATGCGTTAGTGAACTTCCTCGACGCCAAGCATGGCAAGAACTGGTGGATTTGGGAATTTCGTGCTGAGGGCACTGGATATCCTGACTCGGAGGTCTATGGACGAATCCACCACTACCCCTGGCCGGATCATCATCCGCCGCCGTTTGCGCTCATCCCAGCAATCATGGGGAGCATGAGGAATTGGCTGCATAGACTAGATGATCCAGATGGCAAGGGGAAGTCGCAGCTTGCCGAAGGGAAGAGAGTGGCCGTTGTGCACTGCAAAGCCGGTAAAGGACGCAGTGGAACCATCGCGTGCAGCTACCTGATTAGCCAAGAGGGTTGGAAGATGGAAGATGCCCTTGAGCGGTTCACCTTGAGGCGGATGAGAGTTGGATTCGGGCCTGGGGTGAGTATCCCCAGCCAACTGCGCTGGGTGGGATACGTCGACCGGTGGGCGAACCAGATGGACAAGACGTACATCGAGCGGCCGGTTGAGATCCTCGAGCTGCATGTTTGGGGCCTGAGAGATGGCGTCAAAGTTGCCATTCAGGGGTATGTCGACGAGGGCAAGAAGATCAAGTGTTTCCACTTGTTCCATCGCAGCGAACGTACGGTCGTTGATGACGGCAAGACCATATTTTCAGCGAAGAATACCCAAGATGGCAGCGAGAGCAGTAGTAGCAACAAAACAGATATGACCACCGACCCGCCCGTACCCGCTTCCCAGTCTTCTACATGGCCAAGCAACATCGCTTCCACTTCGTCTCCCAAGCCTACCGTCACCGCGCCCCTAGCATCAGGAGCTGAAGGCCTAAGCGCTGCTTCCCAAAGACGCATCTCGGCCGTCATCCTCCGCCCCAGCACACCAGTCATCGTCCCCTCCTCGGACGTGAACATCGACTTCGAGCGGCGCAGCAAAGCTGCCTACACCGGCTGGGCCATGGTGACCTCCATCGCGCACGTCTGGTTCAACGCCTACTTCGAAGGCGGCGACAAGCACGGCTCGGGCGTCTTCGAGGCAGACTGGGAATCCCTGGACGGAATCAAGGGGACTTCCAAACGGGGCGTCAAAGCGCTCGACCGCCTCAAGGTCGTCTGGCGGTACGCACCACCTTCTCGCTTCGGCATCAGCGAGCCAGGGAAGGAGGACGCCGCCATCATGGCGAAAACCATCACGGAACCCAAACCAGGCGAGCCGATCCCCGAGAGTCACCCGGCCGACTGGCGCGGCCAGGAAACAGGCGCTGCCGACGAGCACGAGCGCGAGCAGGAGAATATTCCCACGCGGATCGCGGAGGTCGACACCGGAACCAAGGGTCTTACGAGCGCGACGGAGCATCCGTTGCTCACGAGCATTAGTACGACGGCTGCTACGGCCGTATCGGCGACTGCGCACTCGATCCACGGGCTTACCAAGGAGCTGGGGCTGCGGAAGCAGACGGACGAGAGTAAGGACGTCAGTCTTGCGGAGAGCGAAGCGGAATCAGGACAATCGAAGACGGGTACGGCCAAGGCAGATGAGAATGGGGATTTCGAAGGCGTCCGGCCATATTTTGGGGACAGTGGTGGTGATGATTCCGAGCACCATTCCGGTGATGCTGATTCTACGAGGAGTCCGCCATAGATAACCAGGCTTGTTCGTCGTTTCCTCTGTAAGCTCTTATGTATGTATGTTGTGACAGTATAGTCGAGACAAATGTAAATCTTTAAACACCAACCTTTATCCCAATATTACTCCACATCGTAGTCTAACAAACTATTCTTACAGCCGGCATCCCAACGGCCAGATATATTGATGCGGATACCAAGACAAACAGCTCAAATGGGCACAAACCCTTCCATCCGTCCCCTATGCGCCCGCTCCTCCCGTCGAAGTCTATCGGATTTCTTGCGCTCGTAGACTCCCCGCACGACACGCTTCACTTGTTCTTCGCCTTGCGCGAAGTTCGCTTTGGCCAGCCCAATCACCGAGTCGATCTGCTCAGGGGTGTAAACAAAGTTCCAAGTGGACAGGAAATCGTCTACTTCTGGGTTGATCGTACTGGGATACGGAGTCAAAGGGCGTACTCCGTCCTCGACGTTTGCAGAGGATGTCGTCTCCGACTGCTGCGCGGGGACCGGTTGTTTGGACATCGAGGAGCTCGGAGGCAGCTCCGGGGCGGTGGGGTTGGGCAGCAGGGGGAAGTAGACGACTGCGATGCCGGCGTCGGGATGCATGAGGTGGAAGTCTGCTTCTGAGTCATCTCCATGATGGGGATGGAATAACCGTTTCGATGGTGGTGGTTCCTTGTCAGATACCCTTTCTTGCTTTGTGCCGACCCACACGTTGCAGTAGCCTAGATCAGTATCCTGAATCGATGGTCGGTCGTCGCCGGCTTTCCGAGGCTGCATGGGGTGCGATTTGCCCACTCCGTCTTCGTGGTCCTGGGGACCGTTTCGTCGTGCGTCGGTCATCTTCTCGTCTACCGCCTCTTGTGTGATATTCTGCGGCTCTCGCAACATCTCTTCTGTCTCCTTCAGCCCGGTGTCTTCTTTGGGCCAGCCCGCTCCAAGGGGCCATCCCTTGATGCCTCGTTGACGGGCGTATCCATCCACGACAGAAAGCCAGTTCTCTTGCTTGATGTCAGCCGAGGCGTCAAAGGCGACAATAATATCGACCTCTCGGCCTGGCCTTAAAAGCGGGTAAATGGGCAAGTTGTTGCTCATTCCCGCATCCATGAGCCGGAGATGCTTGCTCTGGAAGATCGATTCCGGGCAAGAAGGCGGTAATTGATCTTTCATGCCTAATACGTAATTGGGGATCGTCGCAGGGTCGATCGGATGGACACGGATCAGGTCTTTCGACTTTCCTTGGATTAAGGAGTCTATGCCACCGAAGCCTACTATGCCTCGCAGCAGTGGTCGAACCTCCTTATAGTAATGGGATAGCGTCGCGCAGAAAGCACTACCCCACACGCCCATCAATCCTGGAACACGCATCTCAGGTAACGGATATTCCCCAGGGGGTATCACGTTGTGACCACCATTAAAATGCCTTCCCAAAGCCCAGGTGGGAATGCCTGCACCGAGCTCCTCGCAGAAAAATTCAAAGGGGGTAAACTCGAACCACTGAAACCATGCCTCGCTCTGTGACGCCTTAATAAGCTTCTCGGGTGTTATTTTCTTCTTCGGCTCTTCGTCTTCCACGGCTTCTAGCACCGGGATCTCGTGACGGACAGCTGTGTATATAGGCATGGGGTGAGCACCATTGTAAAGATTGTACCTCTGGTTAGACAATTTCAAATCTTGGTGCGAGACTCCTAGTTCTCCTTTGGGGACTAAAAGTCTCGCGGCCAGTAGCATGCCATAAATATCGACCAAGCCAAAATCCGCGCCGGGATCGCCTTTCAATTTCTCGACCAGTCCGCTGAGCAGATACTTGTTGGTAGGTGCAGTTGTGAGCAGATTGAGAGCCTTGGGTGGGAACGCTATGTGCACCCCAAGCCTGTTTTTCAGATGATCGACCAACCGATTGTAATCCCGACCAGTGATCGATGAATGGTATAGAGTCTGCAGCCAACAACTGCCACTGACGCCAGCAGTGTAGGTGACACAGTCCCACAATCCCACTTCCTGAGCAGCAAGATACGAGCCAGTGCCGGCCACGAGGGCGCGCAGACCACCTCCCGAACCGCACATTGCAATGATAGGAACGTCGTCCGGATGAATATCCTCCTCAGGAATATTCAAGTAGGAAGCCAATGCCTTTACAGCATGCTGTTGCCGCTTGCGCCGGAACGCCAACTCTTCGTCGCACAAGGTATTTCCAACGCGGACTCTGGCTTCTTGAAGAATCTCTGGGTGCACATCCGGATCGTGAGCTTCTTTCCAAATTTCTTCCGCAAGAGAGCCAGGAGCCATGGAGAGCTCGCGTTGCAGTTTCTGCACCGTCACAGGGAGCAATGAGGTCCAGTCGGGAATGATCGATTTCTTTATGCTATCAAGTTCGATCCATTCGGCATTACCAACGGTCTGCTTCACACCGTCGAATTTCTGGATGATGTTGGCCCAAAGCCCCGTCTCTGCATATCGAGTAATACCCTCCTCGTCGCCAGCATCTGAGCTTCCTGCAGACTTCCTTTTTGACCGTTCGTTGGCATTGAGCCCGGAGGACACGGAAAAGTATGCTTTTGAGTCCGATTGCAACAACTGGTTATGGCGGTCACCTCTTTTATAAAGTACCCCACTACCCAGAAGGCCCAGCGCAGCAGGAGGGACCGTCCAGCGCAGACGATAAACCCCTGCTGCACCCATTGTGAGGCGGGCAACGTGTGTCGAGGCAAAGGAAGAAGACAAATGCATCCGCCATTCACTGCGATGCTGGCAGGCCAGTTGTGGATGGCCAGACCATGGCGATCGCTAAACTTAGATCGCAGGTATTTGTGGCTTGATTATCTTCCGCATCTCCCCCTGCTTTGTCTTTCCGGCCTTTTCTCGCACCATCGGGAATCGAGGGGATAAGGGAGTATGACGACATGTCACGTGTAAAACTGCGGAACCGCAGACGGACCGTAGCTCCGTATTAGGCTTAGCGCACATTGCGGAGAATGGAGGATGCAAATCATGCAATCATCCGCTGCTGTTAGACTTGGGTCTGTCTGGGGGAGAAGAAGCCCAAAGCTCCATCCAATCAATCATGCTTGTCCCTTGAGGCCAGGAGCCTCATCGACCAGCTGTTCATCTAATACATATTATTGTTTTGTTTCCATTGACTCACCCCTCCTATTCGAAGATAATGACAGCTCTTATTATCAGCTCAACTTCGCAAATAACGCACTTGGTTTCGAATCCTTAATTTTGGGGTCCATTATTGTGGACCCTTCCGGTCGAGCAGCCATGGTCGCTCCAAGGAATAATGCATATGCAGAGGAGAGCGCAGAAGTCGAGGTGCTGTACGCCAACCTCGAGAAGCTCAAGCTCCTCACCAAGAAGATTCAGGGCTCCCTGGTCCGGCTCGAGACCGGGGGTAATGTCGTAAAGCATGCGATAGGTCCTATCTACAGCAACACACAATCTCTCCAGATAACCAACAGCAACATCGACAAGGTCAATGAAGCCATCGAGCGCCTTCGCCAGCCACTCGATGCGAAGAATCGTGAGGAGGGTATCATCCGCGCTGGGTAAGCGATAGCCTTGCTTCCATTTCGGCCGCAAGTCTCACTGAATGCTGACTGGTTCCGAAAAAGACCACAGAGTGTGGAATTGTCTCAATATCTGGCGGCCATGAAACGTGTGGACAAGGCTCTGGTCGATCTGAGTTCAACAAACCTCAAATCTAACCAGAAAGCAATTTCCGAATTCAACTCCCTCATTAGTACAGGGAATGCGAAGCTTCAGGACATGCTTCGTGGAATCTTGAATCAGTATGCTAGTCCGATTGAGCCATTACATTATTTAACGAAAGGTACGAGATTGCTTTACAGTCGATCAAGCCTTAGACCGATTGCGCTGACGGGTCGATGAACGTTTACAGACCTCCCGTTCCCATCAATCCCCCAAGAGACGATCTCGGAGTTAACGTCGATATGCACGGCAATTGACTCAGCAGCAAGCCACGGACCACAGCGCGGTGATGGAGGCAATCCGGCTCTCAAAATATACGCCGATGTGCGTGGAGCTTACCTGACGTCAAGCCTACAGAATCTTGCCATAGCCTCGCTGAATACTGTCAAACGAAGAGCTGCGGACGGCCCCTACAAGCAGGGCACTAACGGCATAGGGATATACTCCAACGCGCTTGAAAACTTCATATCTACCGAATACGAGATTATTGCGCAGATCTTCACAGGCGACCAGCGAGGGCTGGCTCTGCAAACGACGTTCCGATCTGCGCTGGCCGAATACTCAAAAACCTTGCGTGAGCTCAACGAGTATATCAAGGCCAATCTGATGACGGACTGCTTCTTAGCGTTCGAGATCATCGAAATCGTCACGGCGATGTCTTACCGCGTTGACTCGAGGACGGGCGAGCTAAAGAGCTTGTTCATAGAAGCTCTTCGGCCAGTACGTGAGACGGCAAAGTCATCTCTCTCAGAGCTGCTCGAGGAAACGAAACGGAAAGCAGCGAGTATCCCCGTTCTTCCTCCTGACGGCGGATCGGTCCCTCTTGTGAACGAAGTCATGAGCTCGCTCACTACACTGACTGGTTATTCCGGACCGTTAGCATCAATCTTAACTTCCTTAGGAGACGGCAACTGGCGCTCCACAGCCAGTGCGTCAGGGACCGCTCCTTTAGATGTCAGTCCAGACAGCTCGGCCTTGTTATCACACTTTATCCTGGATATGATCGAATCTCTGATGAGTTCTCTCGAGGCTCGAGGCCGAGCTCTTCATCGTTCAAAAGCCGTGCAAGGCGTCTTCCTGTCCAATGTCTTCTGCATTGTCGATCGCGCTATTAGACAAAGCCCTGAGTTGGCACGCCATTTAGGCACACCAGACAGTATCGCGCGTATAGATACCTTTCGCAAGCGGGCCACGTCAACTTATCTTGATGCGTGGAAAGAAACATCGCAGTATCTCCTGGATGTGCAGTATACATCGCGTGCCGGAGCCCGACCAGCTTCCGGTGGCGTTGTCGACTCCAGTGCGATAGTCAAGTCACTCTCATCCAAGGACAAGGATGCCATTAAGGATAAGTTCAAGGCATTCAACGCAAGCTTCGATGAACTAGTCAACCGCCACAAGGCTCTGTACATGGAACGAGAAGTGCGCGGAGTATTGGCGCGTGAGGTACAGGCCGTTTTAGAACCGCTATATGCGCGCTTCTGGGACCGCTACCACGAAATTGATAAAGGCAGGGGCAAGTACGTCAAATATGACAAAGGAAGTCTCTCTGCGCAGTTGGCTGCATTGGCATAGGAAAGAAGCACAGGGTTTGTGGTCTCCGACATCGGCATCGTCCTCCGCTGAAAGCAGGCCCTGATACACTTGGAAAGTATGATGCTTCGTGTCTGCAAAGTGCATGAATTGGGTTTTATGATCAGATACCCATGCAGCTTCCCACATATACGTCGATTAATTATAATACTTCTAGTTGGACATGTACATAGCTGTTTTTGATGATCTCCGTAGTTGATAGCCCCTCCTGATAACGTGACTGATAAGCCACCCCGCTAAATTCTACAAAATTTCCTTGGGGTACGCACACATCGTCATTCGACCTTTTCAGTTCTCCATCTCCAATTCTCCTTGGACACGGCCGAGTTCCTATCGACAAGATGTCTTCCAGCAATGATGTATACCAGACTCCTCTCAACTCGCGTTATGCGAGTAAGTGTGCCCCGCAATCTGCGCTCTTGAAACCGTGGCCGAGTTAGTCCCGCTTTGTAGTCACTAATGGTCATTGATTTAAGGCAACGAGATGAAGTATCTTTTCTCTCCCAGAAACCGATTTTCAACATGGAGACAATTGTGGTTGTGGCTTGCGGAGTCTCAGAAGGGTGTGTATAACCGATTGCTCGCCTCCCTGAATGCGAAGGGGAGAACAGTCTCCCCCTAACGGGACTCCACACTGAAGTCTAGAGAGCTAACAAGCGCAGAGCTTGGCCTTCCTATCCCCGATGAGGCCATTGAGCAGATGAAGACCCACCTCACTATTCAGGACGATGAATTCAAGGTTGCTGCTGAGGAGGAAAAGCGTCGGAGACACGATGTCATGGCTCACGTTCACGCCTTCGGCCAAGTCGCTCCCGCAGCTGCCGGTATCATCCACTGGGGTGCTACTTCGTGCTACTGCACGGACAATGCGGATCTTATCTTCCTCCGTGACGGCTTGGATATTCTCATTCCTAAGCTCGCAGTTGTCATTGATAAGCTCTCTGCTTTCGCTAAGCAGTACAAGGATCTGCCCTGCCTTGGTTTCACCCACGGTCAGCCTGCTCAACTTGTGACCGTTGGAAAGAGAGCCTGCCTATGGATCCAGGACTTGCTCATGGATTTGCGAAACCTTGAGCGGGCCCGCGATGACCTCCGTTTCCGTGGTGTCAAGGGCACCACTGGTACTCAGGCCTCCTTCCTCCAGATCTTCAACGGTGACCACGACAAGGTTGAGCAACTTGATGAGCTTGTTACCAAGAAGGCCGGTTTCGATTCGGCATTCATCATCTCCAGTCAGACGTATTCGCGTAAGATCGATGTTGACGTGGCCAACGCTCTTGGCTCGTTTGGATCTACTTGCGAGCGTATCGGTATTGACATCCGCCATCTGGCTATGCTCAAGGAGGTTGAGGAACCTTTTGAGAAGGACCAGATTGGAAGCAGTGCTATGGTAAGTCGTACTCATTGCCCACAAAGTGAAGGGAACATGAATTTACCGTTTCATACAGGCTTACAAGCGTAACCCTATGCGGTCTGAGCGCCTTTGCTCCCTCGGAAGACACCTCCAGAACCTGCCCAAGGATGCTCTGGACACCTACTCCGCACAATGGTTCGAGCGTTCGTTGGTAAGCTAATACTCTCCGACTTCGTTGTGTGCATACAACATTATAATTGACCCTTTCCAGGATGACAGCGCCATCCGTCGTATCAGCATTCCCGAGCTTTACCTTTCGGCCGATGCCTGCTTGATCCTTCTCAGTAAGTGGAAGCAAATATTGTATTTGTTTTTTTCAGCATCTGACGCACATTTCAGACAACGTCACTTCCGGTTTCGTTGTGTACCCCGAAGTCATCAGACGCCGTGTCAACGACGAGCTTCCTTTCATGGCAACGTAAGTCACTTCTCCTTGTTCTCACCTCTACTGCAAATATTGTACTAACCTTTCTGTAGTGAGAACGTAAGTCTAGCTCGAGGAATAACATGACGAATACCTATACTAATTGAATAGATCATCATGGCATGTGTGAAGAAGGGTCTCTCCCGCCAGGACGCTCATGAGGAAATCCGTATGCTTCTCTGCTCCCTCTTCTACCGCAAAGTACCCGCGCTGATATAGGCCCACAGGCGTGCTCTCCCACCAAGCATCGGATAACGTCAAGAAACTCGGAAAGAACAACGATCTGATCGAACGTGTCCGCCGCACCGCCTTCTTCGCCCCCATCCTTGACGAACTTGATACTCTCCTCGACCCCAGCACCTTCGTCGGCCGTGCTCCCCAGCAGGTGGAGAAATTCACGTCGACGGAGGTCAAGAAGGCCCTTCAGCCCTACGAGGAGCACCTCCTCAAGGCCGAGACCGCCGCTCTTTACGTCTAAGGCTGTATCCCACAACCACTATCCTCTCGGAATCTCATAACGTCCTTTGGATTACGATGTTGGGGAATCACCCTGGGAGGGAAAGGATCTCAAACTTCGGGCAGGCACTTAATCAAGCTGTGCCACGAACTGTCTGCCAACTCCATGGATAAGCTACGATTGAGACGCGCTATACACAAAAGTTTGACGAGTCACGCTGAGTACAGTGAAGGGAGTTTTTCTGATATAGATATATGTATATACTAATGATATAGGATGATTTTCAAATAATGGCCTACTTTCTTTCTACTGCTAGTCTAGTAGCTAGGCGTGAATCTGAATCCCGCGTAACGGTACCTGCCAGTCAAAGAAGCCGACTGCAGGCACACTCAGGTATATGCTGTACTACATGCCACAAGCCAGCCGCCTCCACGTCCTCCAGGTTACAAAGGCTTTAGTCGAACCATCCTACGCCAAAATAGCATGCTTTACTAACTTTGACCTCTTATTTTTGTCAAGCAGCGCCACATCGTAGAAGGTATTAAGATTAACATGCCCAGTCGCGATGATGAAGACCGGTGACGTAAATGGCGACTCAATACATGGCCCTAATTCTTCCCCTTTATTCCATTATATTCATCCTCTTCATCCTTTTATGAAAAGCAGGAAAGGGATGTGATCAAACGGCAAAAGGCAGAAAGCCACCCATGCTGAGGAAATGCACCAGAAGCGAATATGGCGTTTGGAGTCCGCCGAGAATTCACGGACGTAGGAACATTGAAGAGAAATCTAAACACTAGAAAAATGACTAGAAAATGGCCCGAAGAGAAGCAGCAAAAGACATAAGTTGAAAAGAAGTTGGAAAGAAAAGAAAAGCAACAAAAAAAAGAAAAGAAAAAAAAAATTGCGAGAGGTATATCCAAGAAGCGCAACGGTGACTTCGAAGTCACTGAGGGGAAGGGCGAGGGAAAGCAATCATTAAGCAGAAAACGTCATGCACGGCATAGCTTCATAAGAAGCATGAGCGCTATACCTACTTGTTCGCTCCAGTCATCATCCTGCTGAAGGGATATTTCAGAATATGATATCACCGTTGAGCAGCTTATGGACATGGCTTTGGTCCTTCAGAGAGCGGATAGCCAGTTGATGATCTGCGGAATGTCAGACCAGATAGTTGGCTTGAAAGCAGACACGAGAACTTACCATCATGGCTTGCATCATAGCTACCTTTTCACCATAATGCTTGCCGTCCCAGCTAGCAGCTTGCAAGGTTGCATTGTACATGCCTAGAACTTCCATCCCTCTACTCCGAGCTGCTTTTGTCGTGTCTAGAGCATACTGCCACACGGCACTGTTGGCAGGAATATTGGTATCGGTGGACAGTTTCTCATGACCGGGAGCCGTGGGCCCCACCCAAAGCAGAGGCGTGTATTGTTTGTTGACTTTCGTCAGAGCGAGCCATTCGTCCATGCTACTCTCGGCTGCGGACAAGGAAAATGATGTGGAGAGCGAAACACTGTGAATCACAGGGACAGGCTTTCTTTGGCTGTCGGAGCGAGCGAGCAACTTCTGAACTTTCTCATGAGAGTTTCTTGAGGCGGGTGATCCAACTACTTTCACAAAAACATGAGGAACATCTGAGTGACAAAAACGTCAGCGCTAACATGTATGAATATCCCTCTTGAAGTAGATAACTTACGGGTTGAGCAGGCATAAGTGCTTCGAGGTCCTGATTTGTCGCCCGGGAGAAACATATCCTCGCTGGAACTGATTCGCTTCAGCCAGCACGTGGGGTTGGTGAATTGAGAGTCACATCTGCATTGTTCACTGTCCACGTCATTCATCTCCCAATCTTTCAGAGCACCAGTGGCGAGGTTTTCACGGAGAAGGATATTGAATCCAGCATAAGCATCAGCCAGTGATTCGTCACCGATGAAAGCGACTCCGTCAAATTTTTGGAGTATATCGCAGATCTGAGAGCTGCTATACCAACGATAGACACAACCTAAGCATGTCAACAGATCCGTAGCAAGCGCCAACAGAGGAACCTTCGAAGAGACGCATTGGTGAGATGACGTTAGGGTCAACCAATCCCGCTCGTACCTTGTGATGTATAGGCAGCACCAAAGCCATGACGGCCACCATTGCTCATTGCGCTGAGCAATGAGTCTCGAGTCTTGCAATATCGCTGGTCTTCTGGGGGGTTGTATAAGGAGACTGAGGAGATGCCGCACTCCTGACGACCCGCATAGTGTGCTAGAAAACTGAGGAAGAGAAACGCTTCGGTAAGTATTAAGCTGCCATGACAGCTGAACAAACAAGGTCACAGAAAGACTTACTCTTTCCCCGCAGTCCCAGTGGTAGACTCCGTTTCTGACGGGGCGAAGGGCAGCCAAAAGAGGTCCCTTATAAGCCAGACGATGTAAAACACGCCCAAGACCCAAAGAGACGCCATGAGTTTGTAGGTCGACGAACGCCAGGTGACTCTCCGAATCAACCTTCGTCCGTTAGGGCCCTCGATAGGGCCACGCCTCTGGGGCAAATGATTCTGTTGCATACCGGAGAATGGATATGCAACAGCCTCGTTCATAGTAGACGATGAGGCTATTGATTCACTGTTTGAGGCACGGCGACGGGACATGGTTTGCTAACCGTTCGAACATGCAGACTAGAGCACGAGATGGGGG